TTTGCCTCAACCATTCATAAAGGGGAATTTTGGTGGCGTCAATTTAACCGTTCTAGAGTTATTACCCTTTATGAATGGAAAAATTGCAAAATGTTTATTTTCTTCTAAATATCAAGTAATTTTTAAAATTGGAGTTTTTCCTTTGTCCATGATTATAGTTGAATCAACTACAATCAATGCTTTATACAATGCAATGTTTAATTTTGACTTCCACTGATAAAACACAGATCAAGTTGAATTTGGGTAGTGTCACTTTAACCATTATTGATTTATGCCCCTTTATAAATCGAAATATTGCAAAACTTAAGTTTGCCCCAAACCAAACATTATGAAACCTATACACAATATTCATTACCACAAAACTAAGATCAAGTACAAATTTTTTGTTTCCGTTTTCTAACTTTAGTTTTCCTCAACCAAATTTAATGAAACTTATACACAATACTACATAATACTGATTAAGTACGAAATTAGGTGGTGACACTTTTACCATTCTTGAGTTATGTCCCTTTATAAACATAAAAATTGCTGAATTTTTTAGTTTGTCTCAACCAAATGTTATAAAAGTTATACACAACCGTTCTAGAGTTATGCGTGTTGACAAATAGAAAAATTGCTGAATTTTTAGTTTCTGTTCTCTTCTTAAGTTAGCCTCAACCAAATGTTATGAGACTTACACACAATGCTTATTACCACAAAACTCAGATCAAGTTCAAATTTGGGTAGCGTCACTTTTACCGTTCTTCAGTTATCTCCCATTATAACTATATGATATGCAAGCGGGGGCATCATCTGTGTCCACATGTGGACACTATCCACATTTATTTAATTTTCAAATGATTATAACTTGAAAACAGATAGTGATAGACACAATCTTTATAATTGAAAATGTTCTAAATGATAAAGCACATAAAATGAAATAAAAGGTTGGTCCCAAAGGGTAACCCCCACCCCCTGCCATTTGAGAAAGCTTTAATATCTTGTAAGTGGTCAAGATCCTCATCCCTAAACCATGTATATTCTGGTTTGTCATGATAAAGCACATCAAATGAAATACAGGGTTAGTCCCCAGGGGCACCCCCACCCCCTGCCATTTGAGAAAGTTCTAATTTCTTGTAAGTGGTCAATATCCCCACCCCTAAACCATATATATTCTGGTTTGTCATGCCAAGATGATTTGAATGATAAACAGGGTTAGTCCCCAGGGGTCATCCTGACCCCCCTGCCATTTGAGAAAGTTCTAATTTCTTGTAAGTGGTCAAGATCCCCACCCCTAAACCATATATATTCTGGTTTGTCACGCCAAGATGATTTGAATGATAAACAGGGCTAATCCCCAGGGGTCACCCCACCCCCTGCCATTTGAGAAAGTTCTAATATCTTGTAAGTGGTCGAGATCCCCACCCCATAAACCATGTATTTTCTGGTTTGTCATGCCAAGGTGATTTGAATGATAAACAGGGTTAGTTCCCAGGGGTCATCCCGATCCCCTGCCATTTGAGAAAGTTCTAATATCTTGTAAGTGGTCAGGATCCCAACCCCTAAACCATATATATGCTGGTTTGTCATGCCAAGATGATTTAAATGATACACATGGTAAGACCCAAAGGGTCATCCACACCCCCTGTCATTTGAATACGTTCAAATATCTTGTTAATTGTCGAGATCCCCACCCCTAAACCATATATATTCCTGCTTGTCATGTCATAAAGATTTGAATGATATATAGGAGAGGTCCCCAGGGGTTCCCCCACTCCCAATGTTATAATATCTTGTAAATGGTCGAGATCCCCACCCCTAAACCATATATATTCTTGTTCCTCATTTAACGAAGATTTGAATGCCATACAGGGTCAGTCCCTTGGCGTTACTGATGCATATCACTTTGCTTGACCAAACCAATTTGTACTGGACTTTGCCCAATGTCAGGCGACCATGGGAATGACGAATTATGGGAGCTTCGTTTGAGAGACTTCGTAACAGCATCCTGTTACAATCATTTCTTGTTTTCTTTGGTTAAAATATTCTTTTATTTTATTTAAGTTCTTTTTTATGAATTTATTCATCAAATTATTTATTTATTAATTATTCTATCCTTCAAATTTTTGCTCATTTTTACCTTTTATTCATATTAGGTTTTTTTATGTTTACCACTCAAATTATTTCAATTACCTTATGGTGAAAACAAATTATCTAAATGCCCAAAAAGGCGCAAGCCAGGGCCGACCGTAAGGTCGTTAAAAACTCCCATCATCATATATAGTAGACAATGGGATTGTATTTCACGAGCTTATGGGAAATTTGACCGGAAAGGATTTACTGTTGAATATATCCACATAAGATGGAAAGAATTTCACTCTGGAGGAAAAAATCTACCCATGAAATACCATGTCTTGAAACTATTTACTGTGACAAATCTTCCACCGGAAAAAATGTCACAGAGGAAGAAAAAAACCGTTACATTTATATTTGGAGACGCATCTTCACCAATTGAAAAATGGCTGCACCCGACTATTCGTCTACCAGTGTTTTTGTTGAGTAATAAAAACTTGTAATTGACAACAGTTTGACCCAGGTCATCTGGCTGTCATATTCATTTTTGGTTACGATTCACAAAACATTTCCGTCCTGAATTATTTTTACAAGTGATTCATTGGTCCCTCTTTATTGGACCATTCTATTTAAAATCAGAGAAGGGGTGTTTGTTTTTCTCTGAGGGGTATCAAAAGTCATTTCTTAAGGGCACCGATTGGCTCACAATATAATCTGAGGTCACGGTCCAGTGACTTGCAATTGATTAACAATTTTCAATGTTAAGTTTTCTGCTAAAGTTAGATTGATAAGTTAGTTAGTTTAGACAGCGATCTTTTCTATATAGTTACATTACTGTCTGTACATCTCAGTTGTTGACCATTTCAAGGCCCTGCCCACTAGTCATGGTCCAGTTGAATTAATAAGTAATGTTGCTGTCCATCAGATTGACTTTTTTTAAATTTCATACTGACAGGCAAGACATATCTCTGTGTCAACAGTTTATTAACTAATTGTTGTGTTTTTGCCTATTATTTTGATATATGATTGATATGCAGAAACTGTAAACAACAAAAATATCAAGATTATCAAAACTTTGAACTATTTACTCCATATTGAGTTATTGATCTTTAATGATGATTTTTATGAACTTTTCAAATTGATGTTTAACGATATTAACTTGAAAACAGTAATTGATAGAGGGAACAGTTAAATTGATAAACAAGCAAATTGAGATCTATAAAATTATTTCTTGTGGTTTCTGATATTGTGATGGCTTATCAGTGGAGGGCCATTTGAATTAAAGAGGGGTTGAGAGATTTTGCCAAAAATAAATCCTAGGTTTTGTTTTCATATAGCTATTGTAATTGTACTACTAAAGATAACACAATTCAACAATACAGATACCATGATACACAACACTGACCAATAACTCAACCTTAAAACAGCAGAATACCAGCTGATACCAAAATACACAACACTGACCAATAACTCAATCTTAAAACAGCAGAACACCAGCTGATAACAAAATACACAACACTGACCAATAACTCAACCTTAAAACAGCAGAACACCAGCTGATTACAAAATACACAACACTGACCAATAACTCAACCTTAAAACAGCAGAACACCAGCTGATAACAAAATACACAACACTGACCAATAACTCCACCTTAAAACAACAGAACACCAGCTGATAACAAAATACACAACACTGACCAATAACTCAACCTTAAAACAGCAGAACACCAGCTGATAACAAAATACACAACACTGACCAATAACTCAATCTTAAAACAGCAGAACACCAGCTGATAACAAAATACACAACACTGACCAATAACTCAACCTTAAAACAACAGAACACCAGCTGATAACAAAATATACAACACTGACCAATAACTCAACCTTAAAACAACAGAACACCAGCTGATAACAAAATACACAACACTGTCCAATAACTCAATCTTAAAACAGCAGAACACCAGCTGATAACAAAATACACAACACTGACCAATAACTCAACCTTAAAACAGCAGAACACCAGCAGATAACAAAATACACAACACTGACCAATAACTCAATCTTAAAACAGCAGAACACCAGCTGATACCAAAATACACAACACTGACCAATAACTCAATCTTAAAACAGCAGAACACCAGCTGATACCAAAATACACAACACTGACCAATAACTCAATCTTAAAACAGCAGAACGCCAGCTGATAACAAAAGCCATCAACACTGACCAATAACTCAACCTTAAACAGCAGAACACCAGCTGATAACAAAATACACAACACTGACCAATAAGTCAACGATAAAACAACAGAACACCAGCTGATAACAAAATACACAACACTGACCAATAACTCAACCTTAAAACAGCAGAACACCAGCTGATAACAAAAGCCATCAACACTGACAGAAAAAACAAAAATACTGAACAATTACAGGGTCGACTTAAGCACTGGCCCGCTGGCCCAAGGCCAGTAGAATTTCGATAGGGCCAGTTGAACATAAAGACTACTGGCCCCATTGGCCATTACATTTGACTATATTTTCACTTAGATAGTATTATTAGGGCAAATTTTATTTGAGTTGGGCCAGTAAATTTACGCTCTAACTGGCCCTATTGGCCATACTTTTAAATTTTGTGAAGTCGACCTCTGAATTGCACAACTTTGCAGCAGATAAGCCAAAGACAACAAAATACGGACAGTTACCAAAGCATACTAAGAACGCCGACAGATTGACCTTATAAAATCATAATACAGTAAAGAGACAAAAAGAAACCAAAAACAAGCTCTGATAATAACAAGTTTCATAACATATTACTGATTTACTTGATTTTTTTGCAAAATCTTTGTTTATACTGGTAAACATCCAGTGCTCAGAAGAAAAAGAAAAAATTTCATTTCAGGTTTGAATAAATATTGACTTAAATTGTTTTATGTTATTTTAGATGAGATCATGGAAAATACAGTGGCTAAAAGAAAAGATGGATGTGTGGATTGTGAGTCTGCTACGCTGAAGAAGGCTCGACATTCATGGCAGGTGAAGAGAAGTAACAGAGAAGATATTTCTAGTGTAACTGATGTTGTAATCTGTGACAATATCTCATCATGCCAACATTGTAATTCAAGGGGAGATAAATCTGGTTGTCAGTGTAATCCAGATGTAGCTTGTGTCAAATTCAATAAACCTGCAGAGATTTCTGAAAAAGACATGGACTGCTCATCATCCAATATGATGGCCCCTACATTTGTTCGACACGAGTCTCAAATAAACCAACCCCAGGTAAAAAGGTATGAATATTCTGAACAGAAATCTGAAGGGACAACCAGCATAGCATATATACAGAACACAGTCTCATCAGCAATACCAGATTATTGTAGCAGTATTCATAACTTTTCAAGAACAAGTAGTCCAGTAAGTTCAAATGGTAATTTTAGTTTTGATGGGCAGCAGATTCATCCAGATATGCAAAAGGAGGATGGAAGGACTTCTGTTTCAACAAATTTTTCCAACAGAACTAGTATACTGGCTCTACCTTCTAGTAGTACTGTTGATCCAGAAATAGAAGAGGAGGGATTATTGATATCACATCGTCAACGAGAAGAAGAACTCAACTTGTATCTGAAAAGATGGCAAAATCAACACATTGCAAAATCTATCGTAGACAATGCTATAAATAAAACACTTGAAGAAATGGGGGTTTCACCAGAACCACAACAGTTTGTAACAAATTTGATAGAAAGTCAAGGAATTTCTGAAGCTATAAAATTACAGGGACTGATTCCCCAGTCACAATGCAATCATTTAGGTCCAGTACAGGTTTTATCTAACTTTGCTGAGTCATCCAATTATTTTATGTCATTATCAAATCAACAAATATCTAACAACATATCAGATGTCAGTTTAAATGCAGGTACATCCACAACAAACCATGACCTGTTGGATCATGCTGTCTCTGTTGCTATTGGCTCCAAAGGGCTCATATTTCATGACCAAGGAAAATGATTTGTATTGGGGAAACAGTACAAACAAGGTGATTCAATGAAATGAAATACAGAGATGTACTGACGGCGAGGATATATTTTTATTGAATCAACATTGTATTATTTAAATCTGTATATAAGGCTTTTACATAAACATGTACTCTTGCCAAGTCTTTAAACAATCAACAAGCAGAAGTTTTTGTAAAATTAAGTTACTATTGAATATCTTTAAAACCTCCAATCTGGATGTAAAACCCTCCTAATTTATCATGAACTTCAAAATTGATTTTTGGTAAAATTTGGAGAAAAATAGTAATGATATAATAAATTGTAAATAGCTTGCAACCTCACTCTTCACTTTAAAATTGTTAATATCCACTTTATAATTAAAATTATAATGCTAAATATTTATTTTAAAGTTTCATTTTACAACAGGTAAAATTTCAATCAATCAGGCCTATCCCAGGCGGTAGAATATATAATATTTAGAAGAAGGCAGCTTTGCATCGTAACTTTTTATTGTTTCATTTAGCAGTTATAAACTGACTTTTTATCATTTTGCTAATATGAATATACACACATTGTCATACAAATGAAACTGTCATATACTTAATATAAGTTGTAAAAATATGTTATGAAGTGCCATTCTTATTATAAATGTACATATACTAGTATGATACTATGACATTTTTGTAATCAGCTTTCAGTAGTATAGTGCAGATACTAGTTTCTTATAACTGCTTTTAACCAATATGTGACTGTCAATGAAATAACACTTTCTAAATTTAAAATTCAAAATCACTCAATAAAATGACCAATGATTTTGGAAGGTCAAGTATTAGTTCTTAATCAAATAAAATTAGTATACCTTATTGGTTTTGAGGACACCAGATCAAGATCAAAGCCACTAGAAACATACAGAAATATCTAATATGATATATTGGATCATGCATCAAATGTTTATGGATAATTCTTCATAAGAAGGGGGAGCCAGTATTGATTTGGATTTTTAGGTGATTTGTCAAGAAAAAATTCTGTATATCCTGTGTATATCCTGTTACTGTTCTTTAGTTTACAAAATTTGTTAGTATTTCTCTACAATAAAACAGATCTTCAGGTACAAGTGTTAGTTGTGTACATTTACATTAACAATAGATTGATGCTAACAATACACTTTTGAAAATAAAATGTAAATTTATGTAAATCAAAAGTATTAAAAATAGTCACTTATTGTGTAGTCATTTATCATAGTGGTTGTAGAATATTGATAAACATATCCTCCTTTCTTCCTATGGAAAATCATTCAGACAATTTGACAATTGACAATAAAGCATGGTACTGCATGAAAATGTTTAAATATCTAATCCATTAGAACAATGGTGAAATAATCATTAGCAGATCTTCATGGTTGGTTAGTCATTCTACTTTGCATCTCATTTACAGTACTGTTATTCCTATTCTAATGCATTATTAAAAAAAAAAAATTGGATATATCTTTGTACATCTACTGCTATTCCTTACATTGCTGTTAATGACTCCGACCATCCCAACTGTGGAAGTTATTAAAGAAGACATCATCTAGTCAAAATTGGTGTTTCATATATTGCATTAGCATACATTTGTAGAAGTATTTTACTTATAGAGGTTAAATAGTTTTTACTTTTGCAAGACATGTTTTGTTTAAATGTAAAAACAAGGAATTATTTGAAACTGGAATAATTGACAAGAAATGTATGATGAAAACTAACCCAATTAAGGAGGGTTAGTTAGTGCATACTGAAAAATCAGTGAATGTAATGTGAACCTTAGCCACGCGCATGGCTAACCCTCTTTAGTTTGGTAGTTTTCATTATACATTTCTTACCAATTTTCCAGAATTAAAAATTATTCCCGATTCAAATAATTCCTTGCTTAAATCATGTTCTGATTTTGAAAATACCTGGTAACTAAAAATATTCAAATGAATTCAGAAATGTTTGACTCCTTTCAGCTGAGTATCTTTTGATACCATGTTGGTTAAGAGACATGTTAAAGTTAAGTTTTAATTTCTTTTGATAAATCTTATTTTACTTTAAAATTTTATCCATTGTTCATTTTTGTGTAAATTGAATTTCACTCTTCTTGCTTTTATATCGCTCTCTAGGAGTAGGGGCTATTTTATACCAAAACTCTTCAATGGAGGCTAAATTGCAATCACCTTGTCCATCCGTCTTCCAACAAATATTTCCTTCACACTGGTTTCAAGTATCACTGATCAGAATGATTTCATATTTGGTCAGCAGCTTGGCCATGATGAGTTGTATTGTGGGAGCTCTTTTCAGATCTGTCGGACACCTACTTCCTATTTGTCGATACCATGAATTATGAGTCGGGTATGCTGAGCACAGCAAGGCATGCATTCTTGTTGAATATGCGGTAAATTTGGGGATAATTTTTTATACAATTGGAGTAATTATTTACACTTTTAAACAAAATGGAGTAAGTCACATCTGAAATTCCTTCTTTTATACAACCAAATTAATGATATTTCAAAAAACAAATACATTTTAGTTGTTTACCTTAAGTTTGACTTGGTATTATTTTGAATCATACATATTTGACAGTTGTCACACAAAAATTGTTCTTATGTTTTAAGACTTTCTGAGTCTCCAAAAAAATCGCACTTAGTGTACTATGTAAACAGTGTACCTGTGAGATCAGTAAGATGTCAGGACATTGTCACAAGAAGTTAAAATAAGCCCAATATTGTCACATTGTATACACATATACATGTATATTAAAGAATAGCTTCAATTTGTTATGGCCAATCAATGTATCGGTAAACAGAAATAGCTAAATGTTGCTTTATATAAATACATTTAAATGTCAATGTACAGATCCTGTAACTAAAATGGACATAGTAAATTGGTATTTTAATCATAGATAAGATTTACATTGTATTAGTATTAATTTAACTTTATAAATTTTGTACCTGTTGAATAGGTATGATTAATGCTGATATGCAATAAGTAATGCCGTGTGGTCTCAAGCTAACATGATTTCCTGGAGTGTGGGGTGTCTTTAAGTTTGATAACCGACTTTAAAATTGTTATCTACTGTTTCTCAGCTGAGCATGTAGCATTTAGGAGAAAAGAGCAATGGTTGGTCTGATCATAGATTAATTTTAAGGGTTGGGTATACCTAATATGTGCTGCTTTCACATTGCAATTCAGGACATCATTATAATTTTTGTCTCGCCTTGACGGAGTCAAAAAGCGAGACAGGTATGCTGTTTCCGGCGTCGGCGGCGTCAACAATGTATTAGTTTGTGATTAGGTCTAGTTCATGGTGAACCACTAGTGGTAGGTCAATGATATTTGGTATGCAGTTGTATTAATATTGGCACATCTCATTACCATGGAGATTATTTGGCCCCGCCCCCTCAGTCAAGGTCTTTTGACTTTGAAACTTTTCATAGTTTACATATATAAGTTTGTGATTATGTCAATTTATGGGGAACCACTAGTGGTAGGTCAATGATATTTGGTATGCAGTTGTATAAGCATTGGCATATCTCATTTCCATGGAGATTATTTGGCTCTGCCCCCATAGTCATGGTCTATAGACTTTGAAAATTTTGCTAAGTTAACATGTATTAGTTTGTGATTAGGTCAGTTCAAGGGGAACCATTAGTGGTAGGCCAATGTTAATTGGTGTTCAGTTGTATAAGCATTAGCACATCTCATTTTAATGGAGAATATTTGGCCCCGCCCCCTCAGTCATGGTCTATTTACTTTGAAACTTTTGCTTAGTTTACATGTATTAGTTTGTGATTAGATCAGTTTAAGATGAACTGATAATGTTAAGTCAATGATATTTGGTATGCAAATTTATTGGCATTTGCAAGTTTCGTTTCCATGGAGATTATATAGCCCCACCCCTGATCATGGTTCATTGACTTGTAAACTTTTACATAGTTTACAAGTTAATGTTTGTGTTTAGGTTTGTGTAAAGGGAACAACTTATAATAAGTTAATGGTATTTGGTATGCAGTTGTATTAGCATTGGCACATCTCATTTCATGGAGATTATTTAGCCATGTACCCTCAGTCACATAACTTACATGTTAAAGTATTGCTATTTTAATTTCAACATTTGCATTATCAAAATTACAAAAAGGCGAGACATATCTCTGTGATAACAGTTTATGGTTCTAATTGCATGTCTAAGATGAAACAGGGATCCTATTGATATCACATCAACATGCTCCTATCCTTAATATGATTGAAACATTAAGGGCATGAACATCTCATCATAATGAGTAAACTATTGCCAAGGTAGGTTTATAACTGAAGGTATATTATTTTAGGGATCATATAGGCACGACAGTAAATACATATTTGTCTGACTATGATATATTTTTGAAAAAAAAGGGGAAAATGTTAATTGGCAAATTCTCTAGTTTTCTTAAAACTACTGTTTTAGGATGTATTATTGTATTGATGTTATGGAAGCAGTGCATAATGTCCATCTGCATAAATTTTCCACCAGATTTATGATTCTTATGAAAATCTCGGCCCATATTATCAACCAGGTTTAGGATATCTTATTATTTCCATGCAAGAAGGATAAAAATTGGCCAAAGATCTCATTTTACATAAATACCCTAGGTGTATCAGATGGAAATTTTGTAATATATTTATAACCCTTAGACGAGATGGAAATATTGTCATAAATTGATTTAACAAGCTGTATGAGGTGGAAACTTGTAAAAAATTGTATACCCTAGGTGTATTAGATGGAAAATTTTCAACCAACTACAGATAATAAAATATTTTATCTATTTATCATGCTTTTAGCTTAAATTTTTTTGGCAACATTACCAGGCTGTTAGACTAATATTAAAACAACATTCAACAATATTTATTGTCGCTATTGCATGTAATAGATTTGACTAAGGGAGCAACCATTTGATTTTTATGGGGGGGGGGGGGGGGGGGCTAGGATGAAATTTGAAAAAAAAGGCAGGACAGGAGTTTTGAGTAAAAAAATAGGCAAAATGAGCAACTTGGCAAAAAAAAAGGCAGGATGACAATTTATGTAAAAAAAAGTCAGGATAAACTAATAAAAAATGATGATACATGCTAGACAGACATGTACACCTTACAATCATTCTATGCACCAAATATACAGAGTACTTGACCTATTCTTTAAGTATCTAAGAAACAGATTTAACCAGGAAAACTAAACATTGACCAATGATCCATGATCCATGAAAATGAGGTAAAGGTCAAATGAACCCTACCAGACAGACATGTACACCTTACAATCATTCCATAAATCAAATAAAGTTGACCTACTATTTATAGTATCTGGAAGAGGACTAAACTATGAAAACTTAACATTGACCAATGAACCATGAAAATGAGGTGAAGGTGAGGTGAAACCTGCCAGACTGACATGTACACCACACACTCATTCCATACACCAACTATAGTTGACCTACTGATTATAGTATAAGAGAAACGGACCTAATCACGTAACTTTAACCTTGATCACTGATCCATGAAATGAGACCGAGATGAGATGAGTCTTGTCTGAAAGATTTTTCCAAGGAACCTATATTCCGAATAAAGTTATCCTATTACTCATAATAAGTGAAAATTCACATGACAAAAAAAAAAACTACATTTCTTTAAGCAGTTGCTGAACCATGAAAATGAGGTCGAGGACAATGGACATATGACAGATGAAAACTTCCTAACAGAAGGCATCTATATACAAGGTATGAAGCATCAAGGTCTTCTTTCTTCTGAAATATAACGCTTTTTACAAATAGTTTACGCCACTGAGCCACATCCGGATAGTAATCCCTATGTCACGCATTTTGTGACTTCTGTTGCAGGTGAGACAAGTCTCCAAAACACTTCACATGAAATTTACCTCGGCAACATCAACCCCAACAAAAACGGGCTAGACTGGTGCTCTGGTTGGGTATGAAGCTCTTGCTCCACTAGTGGCACTTCTCATGCTGCTCATATCATGAAATATCCAGTAATAATATTGAATGAAGGAAGGATGATGGGACTGCGGCTTAACCACAATTGAAACATCTGTGGTCATTATTTGTAACACAGATATTCTTTAATGATCACAATAATTATAATGACATTCATTTAACTTTTGTAGAAAACACAAGTCCTGGAATATTGTATCAACTTGGATACTTTGTATATATATACTCTATAGGCTCAAAGGAAAATGCTGCCAAATAAGCATGAAAATGTGTGAGACTTGACAGCACTGCTGTTGGAATGTTAGTATATAATAAACTGTTGACACAGATATATGTCTCACCTTTATGTAATTCAGATAGAATAATGCAAATAAAAATTAAATAGCAATATATTCAATGAGCCATGACTGAGGGGGCATGGCCATATAATCTTCATTGAAATGAGACTTGCAAATGCTAATGCTAATACAAATGCATACCAAATATCATTAGTCGCTCATCAAGAATTTCAAAGTCAATAATAGACGGGGTGGGGTCATATAATCTCCATGGAAATAAGATGAATCAATGCTAATACAAATGCATGCAAAATATCTTTGGCATACTACTAGTGGTTCCCCTTAAATTGACCTAATCACAAACTAACATATTGATGATTACCACAAAGTTGTAGGGCCATATAGTTTTACCCTTGTCCATCATTCCATCATTCTGCAATGAACAGTTATAAGGACTTTTTTCTAAATGCTTTCACATATTAAGCCGAAATTACAGGCTTTGGACTTTGAAAATATTGTGAAAATAACAGTTTTATGGACTTTTTTTCTAATGGACTTCACATATTGAGCTGATTTTTAGTATGTTAGTTTACTATGATGAGTAACAGATTAATTTTATGTTTGGTTCCGAACTGCTGATATGTGCCAAAATTATGGGTTTGGACTTTGAAAATTTCATGAAAGTAACAGTATAAATACAGACTTTCATTCTCAATTTTCAACTCCTAAAAATGGCTTCAAGCTGTTTTTTAGCGAGCCGGGCAATTCGTGTTGTTCCGACACATCTAGTTTAAACTAGATATTAGACAAAAATAGCTGTAGTCAAGATTGGTTTCAATTGGTCGAATAGTTTCAGAGGAGAATATTTTTGTAAAATTGATATGAGAAAAGCTCACATGGCCCTTTTGGACAGTTGATGTAAAACAGTCTCTTATACACTTAATCTCTTAGAAAAGTGATACAAAGGCCTGAAAACTACCACGAAGGATATAAGCATGGCTGTGTACATTCTGTATATACAACTCGTCTAAACATCAGCCCAACAATGTTAGATCAGTAAATTTGCTTTCGCAAATTTTTATTTCTTCCCTCGCCGGGATTCGAACTCATGCTACTGAGATATCGTGACACCAAATGGCCTGCACTGAATCCGACGCGCTAGACCACTCGGCCACCTAGGCTTCACAATAATAAAAGCTTTCGGTGGCCGGGTGTTACCTTTCCTGGTCAGTTTTAATCTAGCGTCGTAATACAGTACATGCTATATAAGGCATGAAGATGGAATTGTTACAGATCAGCTGAAATATCTATTGTAAAGGATCCTACAAATTAATGCAAGATACAGTCACAGAATATAAATGGAACTTTATATATATCACAAAATATTCTGTCTAGATAGGATAAGATGTTAAAATATGTACAGTATCAAATAAATACTTATAACAACAAAATTATATTCATTTACCTGTGTTTAAAGTAATTGCAAATGGCTGATATTTTTGTTCAAGCATATTGTTTTTTTCTTAAATTGTTTAACATTTCACAGCGGTATACCATGTTACTTTAATTGTTCTTCCCTTAGTTTATTTTTTTAGTATTTGCATTGTATCATAGATCAAATTTATTTGTTCAGTGTATGTTCACTGGTGTTAATATGTCTTTTGATTGAGTTAAGCCATTTCAATTGATATTTTATAGTGTGTCTTTCTATGTTGTGATGTTACACTATTGGTTCAGATAAGGGTGAAGGATTGGTACCATTAAAACGTTTAAACCCGCTGCAATTGTTTGCACCTGTCCTAAGTCAGAAATCTGATGTTCAGTAGTTGTCGTTTGTTGATGTGGTTCATAAGTGTTTCTCGATTCTCGTTGTTTATTAAGATTAGACCGTTGGTTTTCCCGTTTGAATGGTTTTACACTAGTAATTTTTGGGGCCCTTTATAGCTTACTGTTCGGTGTGAGCCAAGGATCCGTGTTAAAGACCGTACTTTGACCTATAATGGTTTACTTTTATAAATTTTGACTTGGATGGAGAGTTGTCTCATTGGCACTCATACCACATCTTCTTATATCTAATCATAGTTAAGAATCTTAGAATTAAGATGTTTATATTCATCTGGGACTATTATACTAAGTTAGTATAATAGTCCCAGTATTCACATTTATATATGATTATCAACATTATTGTGTCAATTATCTAACCCATTGTGATAAATTACTTTGCTCTTCATGGGCCCTTTGATTGGAGTAACATGTCTTGAACATTGATAGTATACTGCCAGTTGGGACTAATGGTGGAGTGACCAAGTCGAGGAACTCCTTACATACTTTTGGCTTAATATTTTATATACAGTTTATGTCTCTGCATCAATTAAAAAAATGTTTTAAAGGGACCATAAGAGCCTCATACGGCAGTGTTAATTCTGGAACACCACGATTAAACTGTTCGCAAATAAGAATATGTTAACTGTATTTCGAGAATAAACTCAACAGTCGACAAATATGTCATATAGCCCAACTGAAGTTAATAACTTATCAATTGTTGCTTTAAAAAATATGAAATCCCATGACTTACTGATATTCTTATAATGTGGGAGTATAAAACGTCTGCCATAGACCATTTTTCTTATTGGGCAACAATAAACTGTTGCCATGTTGCTATGTTTGGTGTATATCACCGGAGCGTATGTAGGCTTGAAACGTATTTACAAATTTGAATTCTGATAACCTTTTGTAAAAGATGAACCAAATTGCGAAATTTTAGTCAAGTTTTTTCTGCAGAAATGGGTATCTAAGTTTTAACTTGAAATCTGAGCTTGAAATAAGTCGAAGAAACATCCAAGACATATCAGATGTATAAAAAGAAGATGTGGTATGATTGCCAATGAGACAACTCTCCACAAGAGGTATTGTGACTTGGATGGAGAGTTGTCTCATTGGCGCACATACCACATCTTCTTATTTATATTGACATATTTAAACTTGATTTTGAAAAAGGCATTTGATACAGTACCTCGCGAACTTCTAAAACGTAAGGTCAGTAGATATTGAGTACGAACAAACATATTAAATTGGATAGACTTATTTTAAATACAGAAAACACAATGATTGGTAGTTAATGGTTGCAATTCAAAAACAACACCAGTGCTCTCGGGTGACCTGCAAGGCACTGACTTCAGTGGAGGATCCAAGGGGCGGGGGGTGTGACTGCGTTTGCTATAGATAAATTAGCACCATCAATGATTGTTACAAATAAGAGGAAGGCATAGACAGCAACAACATGGTGTATGAGATTTTAACCAGTCAAATGTCACATGATGACACTAAGCAGGAAGAATAGTAATGTATAATTGGTTTATACTCTGAAAGGCACCAAACTGGTATTTCTCTAATTAATCAAATATCTTGGCGTTAACATCAAAAGTAACCTACAATGTGGAAAACAAGTTGAAGAAATCTATAACAAAGCATACAGAACACTGGGATCCCTATCAAACGTATCTCCAGGAGAAATTATAAAACTTAAAAAAAAGAGCGGCCCCTTTTAATTCAA